TAGGTCACATAAGTCCAGAGTCATCTAGCAGGAACTGTAATACTGGTCAGGTAGTGATTATGGATGTCCTGATATGGATATGTTTGTTCATCTATTTAGATATTTACACCTTGTTTTTCTTCCCAATAGGAATCCAAAGCAGATGACAACATCATCCTCCCCTCCCCGTCCTCACAACAACAACCCGTGAGGTAGAACGGCTAGATTAGAGTCCAGTAGCACCTTAGAAACCAGCACATTTTCAGGGTGTGAGTTTTCAAAAATCTTGTTGGTCTCTAAGGGACTAATGACCTCGAATCAAGCTCTTCTGCTGCAGACCAGCACGGCCACCCCCTGCAACTATCCTGTGAGGTAGGTAAGACTGAGACTGAGTAACTGCCCTGAGGTCATCCATGGCAGAGCAAGAATTTGATCCTAGTCCAACATTCTGACTGCTAGTCCAACATTCTGACTGCTAGTCCAACATTCTGACTGCTACACCACATCCTTATCAATTTGCAAAAACTCTGTCTTGAGGATAGGGTTGGGGGGAGGTTTCTGGAAGTTATCATGGGTGCCAGAGAGCCTTCTGGCACCATGCACAGCTGTCCTTGGCTGAGAACTTGCGTAATTGTTTCCCCCCCCCTCCCTTAAGGAGGTTGATCTGGAAGAATCACAGTATATTTAGACCAAAGGTAGGGGGGTGCTGCTCAGCTTGCCCTGCAGCTCTGCAAAGTGCGATGTCTGTCTTCACCCTCGCCTCCAGATAAATACAATTTGAACCAGTGCTTGGGTTACATCCTTTGGGGATTCAGCAAAGATCAGGGGAGTTAATGAACCCAAAGTCTCATATTCTGCTGGCCACATTTCCTTACAGAGCTGAAATATGCTGAATGCAGTCAGGGGCAGGGAGGGCGGAGGCGGAGGGGGAGGGAAGTTCATTTGAATGTGAGAGCTTAAGCAACCAGGAATGCAGTATTGCTGCCAAGGCTCCCTTTTCTCTTTGGGTCTATTTTAAGACCATTCTTCGAGCATCTGCTTGCTTTTAGATGACGGGAGGGATCTGTGACAAAGCCCCCATTGAAATATCCATCCTAAGCCTCTGAAGTGTCTCAGCCTGGAGGGCTTTGGAAACAGAACTGGGAAAGAAGGCGATTCCAATACAAAAGAAGGTCTATAACTCCCATGTAAACATCGGCTGCTGCAGCAATATGAAAAGTGAGCCTCCGTCACATCCCGGATGGGATAAGGCCCTTCTGCCTTAAACAGGGAGAAAACTGGTTAGTGACATGTTCTCCCACCTTTGCAGGGATACTGTACTTGCAGAATTCCCCATGGTGAAGCAAATGCACACTTGTGTCCTATATTATCTGGCATTTTTCTAGGTCTTCTAATGGTAACAGCGTTCCGTGCTCCTTGGTATTTAGTCACGCCGGCCACATGACCATGGAAACGTCTTCGACAGCGCTGGCTCTTCGGCTTTGAAACGGAGATGAGCACCGCAGCCCTTGAGTCGGATTCGACTGGCTTTCGAGCAAGGGAACCTTTACCTTTACTAATGGTACAGTGTGGTTGCAGTTGTGAAACTGAGCCACATGGCAGCTTCCTAGCAGAGCTGGCAATTTCTGGAAAGCAATGCTAGGGTTGCCAACCTCCACTTGGAGCCTGGAGATCTCCTGGAATTACAGTAGACCCCCCAAGACAACAGAGATCAGCTCCCCTGGAGAAAATATCTGCTTTGGAGGGTGGTAAGGTAAAGGTTTCCCTTGCTCGAAAGCCAGTCGAATCCAACTCTAGGGTTGCGGTGCCCATCTCCGTTTCCAAGCCGAAGAGCCAGCACTGTCCAAAGACATTTCTGTGGTCATGTGGCCGGCATGACTAAACGCCAAGGTGCACGGAACGCTGTTACCTTCCCACTGAAGTGGTACCTATTTATCTACTTGCAATTTCTTGCTTTCGAACTGCTCGGTTGGCAGGAGCTAGAACCAGAGAAGGGAGCTCACTCCGTCATGTGGCACTCGGGTCTTGAACTGCTGAACTACCGACCTTCCAGCCTGCAGTTCAGCATCTTAACTGTATGGCAAATACCCAATTGAAGCTCCTCCCCACCCCAAAACCTGCCCTCCCCAGGTACCACCCCAACATTTCCAGGAATTTCACAACGTGGAGCTGGCAGCCCCAAGCAACAACCATGTGGGTCAAGCCAAACTTAACCCTACCCAAGAGCACAGTCTTCCACGTGAAATTTTTAAAGCCAGGATTGCTTTAGTGGAGAACAAAGTTTGTTGTCACTCTCTAGTCCGCCTTGCTCAATTGAAAAGGTCGGACTAATCCAGAAAAGACAAGCAGAGAACCACTGGAGAGATCTTGAGGGCAGGGGCATGGGGGAGATGGCATTGCATGCATTATGACATCACTTCCCGTAAAACCCAGAAGCGATGTTGGGTAACTCTCGGAATTGCTGGAAACTCTATGGTAAAACCACAGTTTTTGTAGAAAACAGTCCAGTAGCACCTTAAAGACTAACAAAATTTGTGGCTTTCGCCATGAGTCACTGCTCACTTCAGTATCTGAAGAACTGAGCAGTGACTCATGAAAGCTCATACCGTGCCACAAATTTTGTGAGTCTTTAAGGTGCTACTGGACTCTTACTCTTTTCTACTGCTGCAGACAGACTAACACAGCTACCCATCTTGATTTACCTCCATAGAATTTCTGGTTATTCATAGAGCAACTCAACATCTCTTCCAGATTTCCCCAAGGAAGCGATAACACAGCACATGTGAAGCAAACATTTCTTCTCTCCTGCTGCCACTCAGGGTGGCGGAGGGGAACGAGGGTTGCCAATGGGAGGACTGCCTCCATAGTGGGTGGGGGGGGGGGCCTGGCAACCCAAGAGAGCCAACCATCACTCTCAGCTAGGGTGGAAGCAGGGCTTCCCCCTCCCCCCCCTTTTTAAAAAGAGGTGCCGGAACGCTCAAGAGGGAAATGAAGTTTTCCAGTCTGTATACTGAAAACTCCTGAACTTTTAAACATTTTAAAAAGAATTCTGTCGAAGAGGATCCTGAACTCCATTCCGATGCATTCCCCCAGAAGAAAAGCCCTGGTTGGAAGCAATGCACACACACAAGGGGACTCTCTGTAGGACAAGTCACCAAGAGATGGGAACTGGCTTTTATAAATAGGAGGTCACCCCTGTGCTACTTATCACAGCACACAGCTGCAGGTGCCACTCTAATGGTCCTTGCTCCACTGCAAAGCATCTGTGAGAGGGATACATTTGCAATGGAAATGCAGTGGGGGAAGGGAGGGAGTTTAACCCTTTCCCTGTGAAGTGTAGTGGGTTAAACGCATGAAGAAACCACGGAGACTGATGTAGCAATCCGCATGGTTTACTGGTACACAACAAAGACAAAGACAAACGGCCGGCTGGCCAACTATATACATACCTGGGGACACACCCCTAGGTCCCGTTGGTGGGTTTAAATCTCCCGCCACGGTCCCATTGGTCCCTCAGGGGAGAGACCAGGAGCCTAGTCCCCATTGTTACTCCAGAGTCAAGCTCTGGAGTGTTCGCTGGCCCCTGGTGGCGGTCAGCGGACACAACACCCTGAAATTTATTTATTTTATTTACAATACTTGTATGTTACCTTTCTGCCCAGTCAGGGCTACCAAGATGGCTAACGGTTAAAAGTTTCTAAAAACATATTATAAAAATAACTAAAACCAAAACTACAATACCTATTAAAAGCACATAAAACAGTAATCATAACACAGGGCGGGACGGAGGGATTACTGAGGGAATGGAGAAATGCCTCGGTTTTTACTTTGCAGCGGTCCAGATCTGTTTTGTCCTACCCCTTTAATAGAGGCTTCACATGTGGAAATGGGCAGCTGAAGCTTTTCATGGCATGAGGGCAAATAGCATCCCCTGTGTTATGTACGTGGACCACCACCAGGGGTCCGCGGACTGGCCAGAGCTTGGATCCCGGAACAATGGAAACTTCGGATCCTGGATCCCCCAGCCCCAACCAATAGCCACCTTGGCGGGACATTCAAACCCTCCAATGGGAGTGGGGGGGTTGCTGGGTGGATATGTATATAGTTGGCTCTGTTGGCCATTAGAGTCAGTCTTTGTGTGAAGTACAATAAACGTGTGCTACAGTATGTCGTCGTCCGAGTCCTCCATGCGGCGAACCCAGTACTTTTCACCCTGGTAAATAACAGACCATCAAGCGTCCATTAAGGGGTAGGACATTTTCTACAACCTTGTTTGCATGGTAAACAGTTGAGTGCTTCACTCAGGGTCACAATAGTAGAGTATCTGGGGGAGATGGGGAAGGGGAAGGTTCATCATTTTCCCCGCCCCTTCTGAACTGCAAACTGCTTCCTCACAAGAATTCTTTGCAGAAGCCCTGATCTGGATAGCCCAGGCAAGCCCGATCTTGTCAGATCTCAGAAGCTAAGCAGGATCAACTCTGGCAAGTACTTGGATGGGAGACCTCCTTGAAATACCAGAGGTGGGAGGCAGGGGCAGGCTTTATTCAGCCACCTTCCTGAAGGTTTATGACAAGTTACCTGGAGATACCACACAAGATATCACGCAAAGGAACAAATGCATAGCTAGGAAGTAGAGAACTGAATTGTATCTGCAGACGTTCCCTTCTCAACATGACTTTTCAAACAAACAGCTCTTGAACAAAGGCCTTAATCTTAATGTAATAAAAGCTCACAGCCCTGTTTATTTGTTAACTGGCAAATTAAATCAATAAAGCATTAGTTGATCAATTTGTGAGGACACACTTCAGTCATTAGAACTGAGAGTCAAGGACACGTTAAACAAACAAGCCCAACACTATTTTGCTTCAGGTCAGTTGATTGTAACAGGGAATTAAAAAGGAAAATGTTCGATATGGTCTGTTAACCCATACTTCTATCAATATTACACATTTTACAGGTATCTGAAGAAGTGAGCAGTGACTCATGGAAGCTCATAACTGTCGCCTGGTCTCTCATCTTACCTCCTGTGAAAGTCTTTTCCATGTAATCGATGATCTGATTGTAGTCGCTGATAATGTTGTCTCCATGGATGATCACGGGTACCTCTTCCCCAAGATTGAGCCGCATGAACCAGGGCTCTTTGTGCTCAGTCAGTGGCATACTAACATCCCGCTCCTCACATGGCAACCCCTTTTCTGCGATGACCAGGCGGACCTGGAGCAAGAAATGAGTGAAGTGATGACTCAGTGCTGCTCACCAGCCTCGTGAAAAACATGCACTGCGCGAGTTAGCCTTGTGACCATTTTGCACAATATTGCTACTGCTGAACAACGTGGGTGGTGAACACACGTCGGATACTTCCTAGTGGTGCAACACAGCCCTGAGAATCCCTTAGTTCATATCACCTTTATATAAATTACATCAGTGCATAGGGTAGGGTTCCTAACATCGTCTAGGCAAATGCTGGAAGATTTGGGGGGCAGTTCCAGGTGGAGTTTGGGGAGGATGTATTATCACCTCTGGGTAATGACCCAGAACGTTCCCCTAATCTGTCTGGTAAAGTCCATAGAGTCTAGTGGAAATTCCTAGAGCATAACTATGGAGGCCATTTCCCCCCCTCCCACTTGTAGCTGAGGATAGAGAATTCCCTGGCAGGTCCAAGCAATTGGGAAGCCTAGCACAGGGATGGACAAGAAAGTTAAAACAGCCCAGAAGCAAGCCAAACCAAGAGGGCCCTACTTTACAACATCACCACTGCAGGGGCTGCTCTGCTTGGACTTCACCAGCAGCACAAAACAATGGGTGTGTATTCACCAATTGCTTCTTCCCATAAACTGGCAGTTGTGCTGGTGGAGGAGGCATTGGATGAACAGACATTGATCACTGTTGCCCCTGAAGGGCTGAGCCAGCTGACTCCCAGGGCATTGGCAGAGCTGCTGAACTTGGCTATGCTTGCTGCTGGCCACCAGCAGCTCCCTGGGACAGCAGCCCACCAAGAACTCTCCCTGTGGGTTACATGGCCAGTCCACTCCTGCCTGCGCAGATCCAAGGCATTGTGCAGTTCTATAGCACTTTGCCTTTATGTAAATACTTAGATTTTTTGTGCATTTTGTGAGTAGGTCATACAATTATTTAAATCAATAATCATTTTATAAATCACTTCCAATTTATAAAGAGCATTGCAAACTTTATTCCTCACCATGTTTCAAAGTTGGCCATTATTTTTCATGTTTTGCAGATGGGGACTGAGGTTTTAAAATGTTAACTTGCTTGAGGCCATAAAATAATTGCTCCACTTTTCCAAAACAGTTATGATCTCTTAAATGTAACAATGTAAAATGTAAGAATGTATTTCAGGTTACGGGTGGAATCGCAAATCTCTGATATAAGGCTTTAGTTCTCTCAGAATTTGGATTGGTTTTCCCGAGGAGGTAGACAGATAAGAACGGAATTTAATAAACTTTAATGAATTTCCATCTAACAATGTCAAACTCAAAAATGAAATTTCATAGTGTATAATGACAATAAATTTTGAAGGTCTACCAATGAACTATGTACTGACATATGCTAACCAGGAAAGAGAGGGATATCTCAAAGAAAACACTGATGCACTGTGTAGCAATGTAGAAAGAGATAAATTCAGTGCTGGAGTTTATTAGAAAATGGACAAAACAGCCAGTATTGTAATGCCCTTGCACAGATCTTTGATGTGGCCATGTTTGTTATATTGTGTATAGTTCTGGCTGTCATATTTCAAAAAGGATATCATAGAATTGGATAAGGAGTAGAAAGGGACAATTAAAATGATGGCGGAATTGGGGCAACTTCCTTGAGTGAACACTGTTGCTCTTTCTCTGTGGTCCTTTTACATGTAACCTTTGTAAAGGCACCTCTCTGTAGTGTTCTGAGGTGACATGTTTTATGCTGCCTTCTTGTCTTCCTTATTTTTGCTGCAATCAAAGGCTTCCACCTTAGAATTCTTAGTTGGACCCAGAGAACAGGATGGTTTAAGTTGTGCATGGCAGATTGACAGAATGATCAGTGCGTGAGGTTGCTCTGAGGTAAAAGGAGATCCTTTAAAATAAACAGTTGTTTTTGTTAAACATGAATAGAGTTTATTTATAAGTAAAACATCATAATGATTTCTGTATGGTTTATTTATAAGTAAAACAGCATAATGGTTTCTGTACGTTTAATAGGCTTAATGGTTTTAGATAAGTGTAATGGTTCCTTAAATCGATCTAGCACACAGGTTTGTTTTCTCACTTGTGATTTAGGAAACCTTAATGAATTACCATCTAACAATGTCAAACTCAAAAATGAAATTTCATAGTGTATAATGACAATAAATTTTGAAGGTCTACCAATGAACTATGTACTGACATCAGCTAACCAGGAAAGAGAGGGATATCTCAAAGAAAACACTGATGCAGTGTGTAGCAATGTAGAAAGAGATAAATTCAGTGCTGGAGTTTATTAGAAAATGGACAAAACAGCCAGTATTGTAATGCCCTTGCACAGATCTTTGATGTGGCCATGTTTGTTATATTGTGTATAGTTCTGGCTGTCATATTTCAAAAAGGATATCATAGAATTGGATAAGGAGTAGAAAGGGACAATTAAAATGATGGCGGAATTGGGGCAACTTCCTTGAGTGAACACTGTTGCTCTTTCTCTGTGGTCCTTTTACATGTAACCTTTGTAAAGGCACCTCTCTGTAGTGTTCTGAGGTGACATGTTTTATGCTGCCTTCTTGTCTTCCTTATTTTTGCTGCCATCAAAGGCTTCCACCTTAGAATTCTTAGTTGGACCCAGAGAACAGGATGGCTTAAGTTGTGCATGGCAGATTGACAGAATGGTCAGTGCGTGAGGTTGCTCTGAGGTAAAAGGAGATCCTTTAAAATAAACAGTTGTTTTTGTTAAACATGAATAGAGTTTATTTATAAGTAAAACATCATAATGATTTCTGTATGGTTTATTTATAAGTAAAACAGCATAATGGTTTCTGTACGTTTAATAGGCTTAATGGTTTTAGATAAGTGTAATGGTTCCTTAAATCGATCTAGCACACAGGTTTGTTTTCTCACTTGTGATTTAGGACAGTAACTTCCACAAAGCTTAACTTTTACAACTGCTCTTCAGGTAGCAGAGATCAGTTCCTCTGGAGAAAACAGTGGACTCTGTCATTATACCCTGCTGAGGTCACCACAGCAAATTGACACTGTTTGCCCAAAGCCAGAGCACTCCCCCAGAGCCTCTTTCTAGATCTCGTTGTATTGCTTTCACAACGGGCTTTACTGCTAGTCCAATCATAATTCACTTCCCTCACCCATCCAGCCCCCTCTTTCTTACTCAGGCTTACATTTTAGATCACAGCGACATACATTTAAAACTCAACATTAAAACACAGAAATAAAATGCACACACAGCATTTACATGGCAAAACACCACACTTAGGAAGAAAGGTTAAGGACTCTGAGGCTTTTTGTTTAGGGCAAAAAAGGCAACGAAAGGAAACGCAATAGACTAAGGTTTATAAATGTATGCTGTCATGGAGAAAGTAGGTAGAGAGAACCTTTTCTCCCTCTTCCATAATACTAACATTCAGGGTGACATGAATAAACCAATTGGCAGTTAATGCAGGACAGACAAATGAAGGGTTTTTATTACACAATGCAAAGTTGATATGTGGAGTTCATTGCTATAGGCTCTGGCAATCGCCACTAGCTTAGTCTATAAAAAGGACTAAACAACTTCATTGAGAAAAATGTCTATTAGCCACAATGGCTAAATGGAACCTCCATGGTGAGAGGCAGTATACCTCTGGGGGGGGCAAAAGTGAGGGAGGACTGTTGCCTTGTTGTGGCTTCCTATCCCAGAGGTGTCTGGCTGTTTTCTGTGGGAAACGGAAAGCTGGATTAGGCCAAGCTTGGTCTGATCGAGCAGGGTTGTTCTCTAAGGGAAGGTGGCAGAAGTCTGCTTCCACCACTGCCATATGCTGATGATGTACAGCATCCAACCCAATTGTCAGCTGCTCAGACAACACAGAACGTTATGGGTCCTTATGAAGCTAATAGTATTTAGAGCCGTAATAGGGAGAACCTTAGGCTGGAGACATATCATTGCTTTTATGAGAATTTAAAGTGGTTTCAAAAAAAGTTTTGCTTTCTAAATTGCACCTATGGGTGGGCAGAAAGTGGACTAAAATGCATCAGTGAACTTTTACCAACAGCCAGAACTGTTGTTGGACTGAGCCAGCAAGGCACTCCCTACATGCTTCAGCAACAGGGCACAGATGGGATCAATCAGAATGCATTAGCTCAGATGTGAAGATGCTAAGCTGCAGACCAGAAGGTCTGTAGTTCGGCAGTTCGAGACCCAAGTGCTGAGTGATGGAGTGAGCTCCCATCTCTAGCCCCAGTTCCTGCCAACCTAGCAGTTCGAAAGCAAGAAATTGCAAGTAGGTAAATAGGTGGGAAGGTCGGAAGGTAACAGCGTTCCGTGCGCTTTGGCGTTTAGTCAAGCCAGCCACATGGCCACAGAGAAGTCTTTGGGCAGCACCGGCTCTTCGGCTTGGAAATGGAGATGCCCCCTAGAGTTGGATTCAACTGGCTTTCGAGCAAAGGAAACCTTTACCTTTAAGAGATTTGGAGGATGCTTTCTTGCTTTGCAAATGTAAAACTTTGGAATTCTAATTTTTAAAAGTAGACCTTGAAAGGTTGACAGACTTATTTTGCCTTACTGAGATGCTGAGTCAAACAGGGTCTGTGGTTTTTTGAAACAATACAAAAACCTGCAAAACTCATTGGTCAGAGATGCACACCTCACAAACAGTAACTCTCTTCCATTGAAAATACAAATGTATCAATCTTAAATATCTTTGCTAGCAGAGAGCTTGTCTTTTATAGCCAGATAGCAAAAACCACAAAAAGAGATCATCGGGTAACAAATACCATACAGCTTTTAACCATGTAGTTCGATCACAGCTAGCTCGACAAGATTCTCCCGGTGGTCACCATTTATTTAACCTCTGCGCCATCTCTGATGTGCCTGTGTATGGCATACTCTGTATTCCGCTTTGGGCACCTTGATTTGATTTGTACTCTTTTAAAAGTAAGCGCAGTTCAGGACCAGAACAGGAAAACAGCTGGTCACTGACCACTCTGACCATGTCTGAGCTAAGGCACACTGAGTCAGAGCTGGACTAAATTGGC